GGCGAGCGAGGGGCGCGTGCTGACCCTGGCTGCCCTGCTGCTCAACCGCTCCGAGACCGACATCAGGTACCTGCTGGGCTACGTCAGCCAGCAGGGCGGGCAGCGCTCCACCCCCCTCATCATCGCTGCCCGCAACGGCCACGCCAAGGTGGTGCGCTTGCTGCTGGAGCATTACCGGGTGCAGACCCATCAGACGGGCACCGTCCGCTTCGACGGGTACGTACGCCGGGCGCCCGCCCGAGCCCTGCGCGTTCAAAGGGGGATGGCACAGCCGGCATGACCGCTGAGCCGAAACCTCTCCCGAACGCGCTTGCCAACCGCGTCGCGGGTTGGTCTATCGGGCGACGCTAGATTGTCCGAACGACATCCCTGAGGTCTGTGAAGAATTGCACGCTGTCATTAAGTTGACCTACGGGCCCATTGTAGACACTGATCAGTGGAAGAATTCTTCTGTTGGCCTAGCTAGTGCCTCTCAGAGAGATGGATTTACCACCTCAGTGGAACCCTTTCCGTCGCTGTAGGAAGCATCCACACGACAAATGGCGCAGCTGTGCTGCTGTGAATTTTCTAGTGTAGACGTACCCTCTCTGTGTGATTATCGGGGATATGGACACCTTCCTACTAAAATTCCGTTTAAAAAGTTAACCGGTTAAATGTTAAGTTTAACTGGTTAACTGGGATCTTGCAGGCAGGAGGATGTGCCGGATGGGCTGGAGTGGCCTCCCCACTCCATAGCACAGCAAGCCTGACACGGCTGGTGCAGCTTTCCCCCTCCCCCCCAGCTTCTGGGTAAGCATCTCCCTAATTCCTGCCCGGTTTGGAATAGTAGCTGCGAAACAAACTAGGGTCCTCCACCTTACCCCTACCCTGCTGATGGCTAGGAAAACTATGAGCAGCAGCAGTGCCACAGGTACTGTGTGTACACTCCCTCTGTTCACATTTAAAAGGCTATTTTCCCCAACCACAAGAGCAAAGCATGCCATTTTTTGTTTAAAAAAATCCTCAAACTACCTGATACAGAATCTAATAGGGTAGCCATAGCTCCCACCTCTCAGTTCCCCAGGGAAAGCTTTTGCTTCCTCATGAGCATGTAGCGTTTATTCCAGGATGTACCAGAATGTATTATTCTATGACATCACTGCTACCATGGGTCGCGTGGAGCTTTAGGACGTTCCCTCTGAGAGGTAGGTGTGGGCTGCAGAGCTAAAGCCACATGGATGCTATGTTTGTGTCTAGCCACCCTTCTTTTCAGGTGCTCTAGATACAATGTATAATGCCTCTGGTTCTAGATAAGGTAAACAGTATTGCCTCTCTAAATTACACTGCAAAGTAGTATTACTGTTTTGTATGGTACATTTCATTCCAAAACCTTTTACAAACTATTATATCAACAATACAGGAGACATCACTTTACCCACGAAAACTTTTGCCCAAATAAATCAGTTAGTTTTTATGGTTTCACAGGACTCCTTGTTTTTCCAATACTAAATGCAACCTTCTTTGAAGGGGATGCTCAACAGCACACAACAGTTTAGGACAGGAAGGAGAGAGAAGTATGTTGTTCAGCTGACATGTCATAGGGAGTTTTGGGAGAGACAGTGTAATCATCTGAGCTGGGATTTAGCCATGATGCTGCGGTTAATAATTCTGTTCTTGCAGGAAGTGCTTTAGGATCATTCTGGTCACCAAGGGACAATTTGCCTTCTCTTGCAAGACACCTCCGCAGGAGCTCAGCACCCTCTGTCAAAGACTGGGGAACCAGCATAGAGTCATGGGAAAGAGAAATGCCTGGATTGAATCACCACCATCACTTCCTGCAGCAGCTCGATCTCACAATCAGCCACTGATTGGCCCTGCTTAGCTTTTGAGATGAGACAGGATCACAGCACGACATGCAATAGCTGCAGTAATAAGAATAGTTCTCTTCTCAGCCCAAGTGCAATTAGTTGTCTGGAAAAGGACCTTTTTGGTTGTAAACTTATTATATAGGGATTTTGTGAGGTTTAAATGTCTTAAAAGTATTTTGAAAACTTCCAGTGATAATGCAAATTCCTTTCTACCTTGTCTACTCTCTAGCCATTTAAAGGCATGTGAGAGGTTTTTTTTTTGCCTCCTTGATATCTACATTTTAATGAAGTTTTACTTCTAATCTGAACATTATTTGAAGATAGCATTTATTTGGATTTTACTTGACGGTGGTATTCATTTTTTAAAAGGTTATTTTAGCTCTGATTGCTGTGTCCACAAAAGTTTAGTTTTGAGCTATGGAGCATTCTGGGCAATGTGTATAATGGGCTTTAGTTTCACAAAATTATTCCTGGATCTTGTTTACCATTTTACTCTTCCTTAGCTGGGAGTACAGAGTAATCCTGTGACTTAGACTGGGATAGTTATGGACTTTACATCAGCACACCAGGAAGCTAAGTACTGCAAACTGCAGGTGCAGAAGAGCCTTCTCACAACAGTAAGCTAAAAATTCTTGGCAGCTAAACTGCCCAGTTTATAGAAATCCACCTTACCTGATTCTAAAGCCTGAGTTTCAGAGCTCATCAGGAAGCATTGTAGTTGTTATGATACCATTGTTAGTGGATTATTTAAACATGTTTAGGCAGTTAATAGTTGTATGTTAAATCGTAAATGGATTTGTTTAGTGTAGTGTGGACACAGCTGTTGCCTGAGGCCTCTTTGTAAATGAATCCAAGGCATTAAACTGGCAGTGCTTCAAAGTGTGGCCGTGGCAGAAGCTCTGGGGGAGAGATCTCCTAGTGCTCTGTTAAGCCACCTCTGTGAAGGGAGCAGCTAATAGCGTAGTATTGTAGCCTGTCTTACACTGGCGCTTTACAGCACTGTAACTTGCTCTGCTCAGCACGTGCGCGTGTGTGTGTGTTCACACCCCTGAGCTTGAAAGGTTACTGCGCTGTAAAGTGCCAGTGAAGACTTAGCCTGAGTTCCTTAGCTTTTAGAGCCATAGCATAGATAGAAATATTTTGATTTGGTATGGCACAAATGCTATCTGCCGAAATGTTACTAGGTTGGGAATAACACGTGTAATCAATCACTGGTACCTCTCCTGAATGTCTTGGTTCTGTGTTCTTAAGTGGGCCATCCTTTCTTCTCCTCTGTTATCGCCCTTGTTCTTAAACCTTCTTCTTGCAATGTTATTCTGACATGTTCCAACATGGCTACATACGTACATGACTCTTAAAAATAAAAAAAAAGGCCCAAATCTCCTGCTTAACCATATCAATAAAGCTAACGTTGCCTTAAGAGCAAACTTAAGTTTTAAAGGTTTGCTTTCTTTATGGCAAGGAAGAGCTGCACAGAAAGGAAGAGCTCATTTCAGATAGAGAAAGAGAGAGAGGGAGGTCATAATGGGTGGGTACCCGCTGCTGACTTGCTTCTGGCTGTCAACTGATGGCCAGTAGTTACTATATGTCTCTCTACCAGCCCAGGAGAGGCACTAAGAATAATTCCTCCTTGTGGCATCAAGGTGCGAGGCTGAATCCATGAACACTCATTTTAATCATTCTTTCCAAAGAACAATTCCTCAAGAATGAGGAGGGTGGAGGGAACTGTGTGTTGTGATATCTCTCCTGTTTTTGAGGTGGAGGCTCTTTCTCCTGTTTAGGAAGGGCTGCTATCACCACTCTGCTGTTGGATGGAGGAGTGTCTTCTTCTCAGCATCACGCTCTGTTTTTGGGATGGTAGGGCCCTTTCTCTTCTTCCTGGCATAGGTTTAAGGATATGCCATTTTGATGCACGCACGACCTGTTTAAATTTCCTTTTCTGCCTGTCTGTTAGCTAAGGAAGAACTCCGACCCCTCTCCATGAGGATATCTGGGCTGGGATGTAGAGGTGTGCGGCACATTCGCTCTTTCTGCTCCTTGTTTCGCTGATCATTCTTGTGAGCCTGATTGCCACAGTTGTGCTAGGGTGTTTGTGCTGGTGTTTCTGGTTTCTGACAGGGTGCAAATTAAGGAAGATTGGCTCATAGCATCTACTTGTCTACTCCCTAATTTCTTATTTTGTGTCGTCCCCCTCCCCCCTCTCCCGGAGCACCTGTAAAGCATCTCTCTGTTCATGAACAATACATTTAGCCATAGGGCTGGGGCATGAAAACCTTCCTCATATCTTAGTACAAAAGTAGCCCCACTGATTTCAGAGAGGCTGTTTGTGGAGTAAGGAACTGCTCATGCTGAGTAAAGATATCGGACTCGAGCCCTAAGAACTGTCTTTGGATTAAAACTCTGGAGTTTGTTCTGTTGGGTGTCATCTGAGCACTTGAATGTGAAAATATATATATGAGTATTCTCACTAAATTGCTTTTGCCCATATGCAGAATAATTATTAAATCATGTTTTATTGTATAGTTTTAACTCTGGAAAAATGCCTGAGCAGGTCGACAAACCAATCTCTTATTTCAGTTTGAACTTTTCCCATGGTTGGTTTTCTTAGAGAAGTCTGAGATACTGTTTGCATCCATGTTGCTGCGATATAAACACTCCTGTTTCCAAATTCCAGTGCCACACCAGTGGCTTAGTGGAGAAAACATCAGACTAGGGATGAAAAAAATTAACTGTGTAACTGATAGAATTTCTATCTCTTACATAGTTAATTACGGCTCCCAGGGGATTGCTGTGGCTCCCGTCTCCGAGGGACTACTGGAGCCCAGTGCTTGTGGCCTTTCTTGGCTCCCGGGGCTGCTGCTGTTCCTGTCCCACGTTGTTGTCGGAGCTGCCAGGACTTCTGGGGCTGCCGGCCCTGCATGGTCATGAGGCTGCTGCGGCTCCCGGCAGCTCTATGAAGAGTTTAACCAATAAGTGTTAGCTTATCAGTTACCCAGTTAAACCTTTACATTCCTACATCAGAATTCTTTGTTTTAAGTCTAAATCTTGTTTCCCTTGTTCTTTGTGATCTGTAGATTCTCTTTTCTTTACTGAATGTCGGTTTATCACTATGAGAGTAAATGACAATAATTCTCCTTTTTCTAATTCTTTTTCGTGGGCCTGAGTGGGTATTAGAGGGGAAATTTTCAAAGCAACACAAATGATACCATTAATATTAATGCAAGGCCTCTAGTTGAATCCCTGGCACAGCTTTGAAAAATCTCTTTTTCTGCTGGTCATTTGTGTACTTGCTAAATGCATTATTATGTCTTAGCTCTGCTGATAAATATCTTCCACTTTAAAATAGGATGGCTGTAAAATATCTGTTTGGGTGGACTATAAACTTGGAGTATTGGTAACCTGCTTCTTGTAGACTACTCACATCTCTTATGAAGAGCAGCACTTTTATGGCTTGTTTTTTGTCTTTGCATTTGTAGTTATGTCATTGATGGAGCTACAGCTCTCTGGTGTGCAGCAGGAGCCGGCCACTTTGAAGTTGTCAAACTTCTAGTCAGTCATGGAGCCAATGTGAACCACACTACCGTGACCAATTCAACTCCCCTGCGGGCTGCATGCTTTGATGGCAGATTGGACATAGTGAAATACCTGGTGGAAAATAATGCTAACATCAGTATTGCCAACAAGTACGACAACACTTGCCTTATGATCGCAGCCTACAAGGGCCACACAGATGTGGTGAGGTATCTCTTAGAGCAACATGCCGATCCCAATGCCAAGGCACATTGCGGTGCCACAGCATTACACTTTGCCGCTGAAGCTGGCCATTTAGAGATTGTGAGAGAGTTGGTGAGGTGGAAATCTTCAATGATGGTGAATGGCCATGGGATGACTCCTTTAAAAGTAGCTGCCGAGAGCTGTAAGGCAGATGTCGTTGAACTTCTTCTTGCTCACGCGGACTGCGACAGAAAAAGTAGAATTGAAGCTCTGGAACTTTTGGGTGCCTCATTTGCAAATGACAGAGAGAATTATGATATAATGAAGACTTACCACTATTTATATTTAGCAATGCTGGAGAGGTATAGAGACAGCGAGAACATCATTGTGAAAGAGATTCTCCCCCAAATCGAAGCTTATGGAAACCGAACTGAATGCAGAACTCCTCAGGAATTAGAATCTATTAGGCAGGACAGAGATGCCCTTCACATGGAAGGCCTTATCGTGCGTGAACGAATTTTGGGCTCGGACAATATAGATGTTTCACATCCTATTATTTATCGTGGGGCTGTTTATGCAGATAACATGGAGTTTGAGCAGTGTATCAAACTGTGGCTTCATGCATTGCATTTAAGGCAGAAAGGTAATAGGAATACCCATAAGGATCTCTTGAGGTTTGCTCAAGTCTTCTCTCAGATGATACACTTGAATGAGCCTGTTAAAGCCAAGGACATAGAAAGCGTTTTGAGGTGTAGTGTCTTGGAAATAGAACAAGGAATGTCCAGGATTAAAAGCAGCCAAGACACTGACATCCACGCAGCCATGGACAACTACGAATGCAATATTTTTACCTTCCTGTATTTGGTATGCATCTCCACCAAGACGCAGTGCAGCGAAGAGGAGCAGTCTCGAATCAACAAGCAGATTTATAACTTGATTAATCTCGATCCCAGAACTCGGGATGGGTCTAGCTTGCTGCATCATGCTGTCAACTCCAGTACGCCAGTCGATGATTTCCACACAAACGACGTCTGCAGCTTTCCGAATGCCCTTGTCACCAAGCTCCTGTTAGACTGTGGTGCTGAAGTGAATGCTGTGGACAACGAAGGAAACAGCGCGCTTCACCTCATCGTCCAGTACAACAGACCCATCAGTGATTTTTTGACTTTGCATTCAATTATCATAAGTCTGGTGGAGGCAGGTGCTCATACAGACATGACGAATAAACAGAAGAAGACGCCTCTCGATAAAAGTACAACAGGGGTGTCTGAAATCCTCCTTAAAACGCAAATGAAACTAACCCTCAAGTGCCTGGCTGCCCGTGCAGTGCGGATCTATAACATCAGCTACCAAAACCAGATCCCCAGAACTCTGGAAGAGTTTGTGGAATTTCATTAGGCCACGTCAAATCTTTCAAGTGGTGCTACTCAAAGACTTATGTCCCAGACGATAGAATACACGTGCATTGATTAGTTTTCTCCACTTTTGGTTTTCTTTGCATTCAGTCTTCAGCCTCAGTCCTCAAACCAATCTTGGGGGAAAAAAGCCACAGTGCTTGGAGGTAACTACAGTCTGGTGTCTAGAAAAGTTGGTGACTCTTTTTTGATTAAAAATGAATTGCGTCATTATCTTTTTTTAAAAAAACAAACAAACAAACAAAATGAAAACAAATACCAAATAGAACGAGCACAAAATATTGTTTCAAATAGACACGTGTTATGAGTTACAGTGGAGAATGCTTTAAACAGCCACTCTCAAACGTGTTGTTAAAAAGGCCATGACATTGCATTATCTCTGCAGCAAATTTGTAGATATAAAATCTTGGGGTGAGGAAAGGAAAGGGAGGAGAAAAAAGAATTTGAACATATCTTGTATTTGGTTTCTAAGTCCCCAGCATACAGAGCAACCCAGGGCTCTTCTCTCACCATCTTTTTATGCCTTTCAGTTAACACTGAAACACTCAGTAACATTTTTAAATCTATTTTTTTTTTAAATTTAAGCAGCAGTTATTGACAGCTGCAAGAATATGGGCATGCTCTATTAGGAAATACAGGTTTAAATTCAACTGTATGAATGTGCTGTTGTAGTAATTGTTGAATAATCATGTTCTTCATTTACACTGTTTTTTGTAACTTGAACATCTGTCCAAGTGCATCTAAATCAATCAATTTCTTTTTAATGCAGCAAGTCACCATTTATAAATATCATGCCTGGATACCTAGAAAATAGTGTGTGTGTGTGTGTGTGTGTGTGTGTGTGTGTGTGTGTGTGTGTGTGTGTGTGTGTGTGTGTGTGTTCGTTCGTTCATGCCCCCTAACATGTCAAATAGCTTTTAATTGTTTTGTTCTGTTAGTGGATAACATTCAACATTTTGACTCAGTTTTTAACGCTGCACTCCAGAATTCAAATGCTGTATCTTCCTAACGGAGAAGTCTTCCATTAAAACAGGGCTCGGCAACGTTTCCGAAGTGGCGTACCACCACTTTCCTGGGAGGGGGACGGGGCACTCTCCACCGCGTGCCCCACTTGGTCTCCTGCCCTGGGCTCTGCTCTGGCTTTTCCTGTGGGGAGGGGAGGAGCAGTGCTTGCGTGTGTGTTTCCCCCTTCTCTTGGGTGCAGGATCTGGGTGGGAGGTGAGGTGCAGGAGCAGGCTGAGAGTAGGGTGTCTCACCAGGAGGAGGGGGCAGGAGCAGGGTGTGGGTAGGTGTCTGGCTAGAGGGGTGGGGGCAGGAGCAGGGTGGGGGTCCAGGGCCCCTGCAT